CTTCTGTTCAGCTCTTTTATCTTGTCATTTCTTCCATTTGCTTTAGCTACTCTCCATTCAAGGTCAAGTTTCAGAGTCTCTTCTGACATCCATTTGGTCTTTTCTTCCTTTCCTGTCTTTTTAATGACTGTTTGCTTTCTTCATGGATGATGTTCTTGATGTCATTCAACAATTCCTCTGGTTTTCGGTCACTGGTGTTCAATGCATCAAATCTATTCTTTAGATGGCCTCTAAATTCAGGAGAGATATAATCAAGGTCATATTTTGGCTCTCATGTACTTGTTTCAATTGTCTTCAGCTTCAACTTGAACTTGCATATGACCAATTGATGGTCTATGCCACAGTCAGCTCATGGTCTTCTTTTGGCTAAAGATATTGAGCTACTCCACTCCCTCTTTCCACAGATGTAGTTGATCTGATTCCTGTGTACTCCATCTGGCAAAGTCCATGTGCATAACTGTTGTTTGTGCTGTTGACAAAACATATTTGCAATGAATAAGTCATTGGTCTTACAAAATTATATCATGCGATCTCCACCACTATTTCTGTCACCAAGGCCATATTTCCCAACTACTGGTGATTCTTCTTTGTTTCCAACTTTTGCATTCCAATCACCAGTGATAATCAACACATCTTGCCTGCATGTTTGGTCATTTTCAGACTGCAGATGTTGGTAAAAATCTTCAATTTCCTCATCTTTGGCTTTGGTGGTTGGTGTGTAAATCTGAATAGTAGTAGTAGTAACTGGTCTTCCTTGTAGGCATATGGGTATTATCCTATCACTGACAGCATTGTAGTTCAGGATAGATCTTGAAACATTCTTTGTGACGATGAATGCCATGTCATTCCTCTTCAATTTGTCATTCCTGGCATAGTAGACCACATGGCTGCCTGATTCAAAATGGCCAAAACCAGTAGATTTCAGCTCATTAATGCCTAGGATATCGATCTTTATGCATTCCATTTCATTTTTGACAACATCCAATTTTCCTAGATTCATACTTTGTACATTCCATGTTCTGATTATTAATAGATGTTTGCAGCTGTTTCTTCCCATTTTGAGTCATGCCACACTGGCAAAAGAAGGTCCCAAAAGCTTTACTGTTCTCACATC